TTCCACGGGTCATATGCAGTGGTTGCAAAATACTTATTTATCGAAAAAAAAGGATCCGAATTCGTCTGCTGTTCGGATACCCGATTACTCTACATTTCCTTCTTTGCCAAAACATACAAGGAAACAAGATAAAATAAAATGTAAGTGCAAATTATGCGAGTTTATACGAACACCGGGACATCAGAATTTTATACAGAAAAACATCAGTGCCAAGAAAAAAGTTGACAAGCAATGTGCAAAGTGTAAAAAATCTTTGCAAAAAGGAGTAGCACATTTTTGTTTTAAAATGCACAATTATGCAAATCTAGTCGAGTCAATTCAATCAGAATTGCCTCCAAAAGTACAGGAACATTTAGTAACTGATCTGATTACAAATATAAGCAATATTAATATTCAAGAACCCGGTGCTGAAATGCACTTATCTCGACGCCATGGTAAACCTCTGAGAATCACACTAAATAATAATATAGAAAAACGAGATAAACAAATTCGTGCAGAAGATGTTTTAAAGATTGGTACAGATTTTGGACTTTCAACAAACACTGTGGTGGGTGTAGCTGCGGCTCTTCGTACTTCTACAAAAAAAAAAAATTGTTTGAGCCATATTTGAAAGAAAAAATGCAGAATCTTAATCATGCTTTGGATAGCTATTTTACTTCCAAGGAGTGTAAAGTAATTTGCACCGAGAAGAAGAATAAGGAGAATATCGCTACGGAAACCTTGGTTTATTGCAGTAACATCGATGGACTTTTGAAACTCATTAAAAATAAAAGAGATGTAAATGAAACCCATTTGAAATTTGGCATTGACGGGGGAGGAGGATTTTTGAAAATCTGTCTCTCAGTGCAAAAAACGAACGTCATTGATGGACCTAAACACAGATTCTCCTATAAGGATTCTAATGCAACAACCAAGTTCAAGGACAGTGGTGTTAAAAAGTTATTTTTACTGGGAATAATTGCTAATACGGAGGAAAATTATGAAAATGTGTTGATGTTATGGTCACTCCTAAATATAAACAAATTTAATGCAACGATAGCCACAGACTTAAAGCTAGCGAATATTCTTACAGGTACCTACTTCTTATTTTAAATAAATACATGTCCACACCGATGACTACAGTCATCGGTGTGGGCATATACGCTTATATTCCACAATTTTTATGCAGGTATCATGTCTCATTCAAGCTGTTTTCCTTGTACGTGGTGCTCAGCGGCGAAACATCAACTGGGGAGTTGCGGAGAGTACAGAAGTTTAGCGATCTGCGCAGCTAAATATCATGCTTGGAAACAAAGTGGAAGCAATAAGACAAGAGCCAAAGAGTTTGAAAACTGTATGCATTTACCGATTATTGCAAAAAATGATAATACAATGATTATTGATATTATTCCCCCACCTGAGTTACATTTAATGTTAGGAGTCGTAAATACACTATTCAATCATATGCTCAAAGATTTTGAAATAGATGCTCTAAATTGGGCAAAAGAGTGTAATGTAATTCAAGACTTTGTTCACGGATACCCTGCGTTTGTAGGAAATGCATGTAAATCATTATTAGGAAAAGTCGACCGCTTGCGCAGATTATGTAGTTTGGAGTGCTTAAAATATGTTCAATGCTTTGAAGATTTTCGAAATGTAGTGAATTCCTGTTTTTCCACAAAATTAGAACCGACTTACTTGAAAGACATCGCAAGGTTTGAAAAAAGCTATCGTGATCTGGGAATTTCCATCACTCCCAAGATCCATGCAGTCTTTTTTCATGTAGGATACTTTTGTTTGAAAACAAATCAAGGCCTAGGCTTTTATAGTGAACAAGCTGTGGAATCCGTACATGCCGATTTTAAAAAAACGTGGATAAAATATAAGGTATCAAACACGCATCCAGAATATGCAAGTAGGCTCTTGCGAGCAGTGCAAGAGTATAATTCTAGACACTTATGATTATTACATTATAAAAAATAAACTTTTTATTTCCTTTTTTTAATTAATTGAAAATATTAAAATTATGCAAATAGGTTCAGTATGATCCGTAAAATGTTTGTTTATATTTTTGAGATAATATTAACAACTTATTTTCATTGATTATTATAAATAATATTTGTTTAGATTGTAGTAAGTATATCACATATTCTTTCCATAATAATTATTTATAGTTACTTAAACCATATGACATTTAAAGAATGACATATGTATATAGAAAATGTACATTAAAAAATGTTGAAATATTAAAAAGAATACTTAATAAACATTTATATAATCACAGTTTAAATATTAATTCATTTACTAAATACACATTTATATAGGAAAACAAACTAAAGACTTCATCTACAGTTTTGCGTACCCGTCATATCGTGAGAAAAATCATGTCAATAAGTAACTGCCTGAAATTAAGGAACTTTTCCATTTATAAACTGCTTGTAAACTAAAATCATTTATTTTCGTTATTTTTTGCTCTAAATCTTGATTTTGTTGAAACGGCTCGAGCGATTTTACTATAAACGTGGATTTGGGCTAATTTTTATATATTTATTCAAAATTCGTCAAAAAAAACGTGGACTGGTTTCAGGTCCACCGTGAATGTCATAATGACTCTTATTTAGCAAACCTGATTGATTTGCAAGTAAAATTATTCATTTTTGTAATTTTTTGCTCTAAATTTCGATTTCCGACGAAACGGCTCGGGCAATTTTGCTATAAACGGGTGTTTGAGCTTATTTTAATATATATTTTCAAAATCTATCATAAAAAACGTGGTGCTAATCCTGTCAATTTAGACTGGTTTCAGGCCTACCGTGATATATAATCTAAATATTTGAATGTATTTTTCACATGATGGGACTTTTTCAAGAATTTCTTTTCCATTGCCTATTAAAAAATTAACAAATTCTTTACATGTCTTTTTATTATTAGTTTTGATCATCAATTCAGCTTCTAATTAAAAAAAAATGGGTTAAGCTTAAACACATTAATGTGTATAAGCATTGAGTAAAGAAGTGGGTTGGGTGGCTTCTTTACTCAATGGTTGAAAGTTAAATATTTAAATGTATTTTTCACATGATGGGACTTTTTCAAGAATTTCTTTTCCATTGCCTATTAAAAAATTAACAAATTCTTTACATGTCTTTTTATTATTAGTTTTGATCATCAATTCAGCTTCTAATTAGAAAAAAATGGGTTAAGCTTAAACACATTAATGTGTATAAGCTTAACCCATTTTTTTTCAAACTGTTCTCATCAAACTAAAAATTGTTTTGGTATAAAAAAATTAATTGAAGTTGGATGCTCTTTTAAAGAATGAGTCCACATTACATTGACATCTTCCGTGTTGTTGGACAAACTCCTCAAATAAAATGTCTTCATCAACAGAAATTTTAAATTGTGAAGCAACTTCAAAGTAATTATTTAAATTACTAAACACTAAGCTAGCAATATCATGGGACTGTTCAGAATCAGATTAGTAGAATTTTAATAATTTAGTTTTTATCAAAATATTTAAGCATCAACAGAAAGGTTTTTAGGTTGCCTTTATTTGAAGCGAAATTGGATGGTGCACATGTTCAGAAAGATCTTCTAAAATATTTTTTTTGCTATGGGGTCCCAAAACATTTGTGAGTTAACAAAATTTTGTTCTGCCACAAATAAAGCTACACTCAGCAATTACCTTTTTTGCGTCATCTCCCGTTCGATTAAACATTTTTTAAAGTGCATTTGTGTTTGCTAAATTTTAAATGTTTTAAACTTTTCATATGCTTTTGAATATCATTTTCGCCCCCATTACCCAGTGAAAATAATGCTTGATTGCGATTGGACCCGATGCACACAATAACAAGTGATAAAATTGCCTTAAAATATGCTGATCTTTAATTAAGTTTTTTTAGACGTAGATCGTAATTTTCCTGTATTTTGTAAAAATTTTAAATTATTCCCTTTTTTCGTTAAGATATTTAAAAATCGGGATTTTCGACGTGCAAATTGGAAGACGGGACAAATCGGGACACATCGATAAAAATCGGGACAGTCCCGCCTAAATCGGGACGTCTGGCAACCCTGATACTTCCTGTTAAATATATTTACATTGTTTATTTAAAAACGTTTTTTAATGTAAATTAACAATCCCTGCCCCACAAAAATTAAAGTTTTGAAAAAAGAACCCCCTGTACATTAAAAGCAGTAACTTTTGGAAAGAGTCTAGTACCTCAAAAAATCGTCCATTCGGTTATGTTTGATTACCGTAAGTTTTGGGATCGATTACTTTTAAAATTGGGCTATAATAAAAAAAACAAAAAAGTGATTTTGAAAGCAACGCTCAACTTTGCACACTGCGCATAGCAAAAGGGCACATCATATAGGTCCGCAATGGGGTTTAACTTGTGCCTTATTTAGTACATAATCAAAAGTATTAGAGGTCAAATTTTGAAAAAATGCACGGTTAGCGAGTTATGGCCAAAAAGCAAAAAAACTCCCCCTTCGGGGGATGAAATTAGGGGACGCGGAAAGAAATCTTTGGGAAATATTCTTGATTCATTATCAGCACCCCTGACCCTACATAAAAAAAAATAAAACCCGACTACCATCGAGTTTTCCTTATAATAATTCTGATTGTGTCACACAGTTTGTGTGTGAAAACATTAAAACCAAATTATCATAAAACTACAATTTTTTAATTTGTATTTTTAAAACAGCATGAAAATTGTTTTGTATCCTTTCATTTAAATAAATATTTGAAATAATAATTACCTAAGCTGGATTAATTAAAATTACCTAATGGTAATTTTTACTGTTACTTATTGGTTACAAATTACTCAAAAAATTTAATAAAAGAAACCCTTGTTAAAAAAGTTATATTTAAATGGCATAAAATAAAAGTTCATTTCAAATGTGTATAAATTTTTTAGGAACTTATTTTCTACCGAGCATTAATTAGAGATGAATTCATTTAAATCACATCATTAAAATTATTAAAAGTTTTATAAAAAATAGAAAAACATTAAGACTAAATTAGACAATAAAAAATTAACAAAATAGAATTTATAAAAATTAAAAATGTTATCTTTAATGTTACATCATTGAGTAGGTAATACTACATTGTCTATTGATATAGATGATATTAGCAGTCTGATATTCAAAAAAGTTCATTCAAAAACTATATGAAGAAAGTCCATTTTTATCAATGGCTGCAGAAACTGCAGCATTCAAAAAATCCATTGGGTCCTCCATTTGCAAATTATCACAACTTGTTGGTTCAGTACTAGGAAAACTTCTGGAACTTGTAGAAATTTCATGATGATAATTTGTGTAGTTGTCCATCGTTGCCTCAGGAAATATTTTACTAGTACTAGTACTCTGATTTATATTTGATTGTAAACCATGGGACTGAATGGCCATTAAAATACCTTCGTCTTCAACTTGACCATCGTTTTCACAGTTTTCAACTAAATCACTGGCATCAAAATCACTGGGTTGATTCATATAAGTTTCTAATATAGTGTTTATGGTGTTATCGACAAATCCCCTTGCCACTCTCCTTGCTTGCCATCTACGTAGATAATACTCTTGGTTTTTAGGCGATACTAAAGTTACAGGTATTTCATTAGATATTGCTTGATCTATATTATGATCAGTCCATTCTTCTTCGTCACTCAATACAATATCATCACTGGTTGGTACAGACAAAAAACATCTGTGTTCTTTAACTTCTTGTACTGTAGAACTACTTGGTATATTGTTATTTGTATTAATATTACCACTTTTCTCTTTTAGGTGATGTTTACCCTTGACCTCCCATTCATATCTCGCCTTTTTCAGTGGTTTTTCCCCATTAGGACTATTCTCCTCACTCTTAGAATGCTCACCCTTCTCATATGCAGCCATTTCAACCAGTTTATAAACTATTATTTATTTCGACACCAGTTTATCTATTACAACAATAGTCCAAGTATTGATTCCCCACTTTAAAACCAAACAAAGCACGACGAAAATCCCACATTATTTCGCCAAAACATTCGCTTTGCATCCGCTACCCCCGTTCTAGAACGTCAAAAATTTAAATTTAAACGCTCAAATACGCAATGAAACTTCCGTATTTATGTATTGTTTTACTTTTAATGATCAGATGATTTTAATACGCCAAACATATTTCTGTCTTTGTTTATGGTATAGATTTTGTGTATTGGAAGAAGATGAAAGTTACTACGTGAATTTTTATGGTCTTACTAGCGCCATCTAAGTGAATATATAGAAACTTGTATAGTAAAGGATACTGTATAATATAACAACATGGTTTTTAAACTTAATACATAATAGTATAGATGGCGCCACATGGTGCGTTTTAATTTAAAACACTAAATTCCTATTTTGTTGTTTTAAGGATCCATAACTACTAGTTATGGATCCATAACTACTAGTTATGGATCCTTAGTTATTAACTAGTGTATTATTATTAATTTTGTTATGTAATGTTAAAAACAAAAAAAATTACCTAAAGTTTATATTTTATTAAAAAGTTAAAAAGGGGCGGCGGTATTTTGTATTTTAAAATTAAAATTATGAATTATAAATTATAATTATAAAAGATCATCCTTAATTTTTTTATTAAAATCTTAAACCATGCAGCACACCGATAGGACGTTTTCATTCTATGGAATGACTCTTTAACAAGTTTTGATATTGTAAAATTTGCTGTTTTTATTTTTTGGGACCTCTCCACTTTGTTTTATCCGATAAGTTTTTGCATTCTCTCATAATAAAATTACTAGTAAATAATTTTACCTACGTTGTTTTTAATTATTTTTTCTACTCCCACCTTTAAAACGTCCATTATCGTACACTCTTAAAATGAATTAGTCAAAAATGACTAATTTAATAGTTATTATAATAACTATAGTGGCTGCTTTTTCACTTGTACCATGGTTAACCATGGAATACCATGGTATCCAAAAATTTGACAGCCAATTCTTATGTAAAATTGTCCCCTGAATCCGAAAATACAGTTAAAAATTATAAGAGTGGAGCAGTTTTTGAGATATAGTCAATTCTATAGTAAATTGATCTCAAAAACTGTTCTACTTTTTAAACTTTTTACATTTTCGGATTCAGGGGACAATTTTACATAGAATTATAATAGCTATAGCTGTTAAATTTTGGGATACCTTGGTATTCCATGGTTAACAATGGTACAAGTGAAAAAGCAGCCACTAACAACTATTAAATTAGTCATTTTTGACTAATTCATTTTCAGAGATTACATATTTCCATGAGACTAAGTGATCTTTTAAATACACATTGACAAGTGACTTTACCCACACAGCACACTACGTCCATTGTACGTCCATTAAAGGTCCAAACTAAGTACATACGTCCATGGACTTTGAATGTACGTCCATGGAGTTTACACTTTCCCATGTCCTTAGGATCACATCGATGTTCCAGAAGAACGTCCATAGGATATCCATGGATGGACAAAAGACAATTTAGGACTTCTGCGGTCGATAACGGCTACCATACTAAATACATTTTTACAATTAACTACACTTAGAAAATAACAAATGTTTTATTTGTTGTTAATTGTTAAAATTGTTTTTTCAAAATTTATAAACATATTCTTATAATTATAACATAACCACAATTATCCCTATTGTAAATGACCAATAGAAACCAATAAAAAATAAGTAATTGGTTTGAATTGGTTTGAAATGTGTTTTGGCGCTATGAATCACCAATTCATTCCAGTTGAATTCCTATTGGTAATTTACAATGAAGTCAGCGGCTTGAATTGGAAAATACCAATAGAATCCAATAAAAAATAAGTAATTGGTTTGAATTGGTTTGAATTGGTTTGAAATGTGTTTTGGCGCTATGAATCACCAATTCATTCCAGTTGAATTCCTATTGGTAATTTCCAATGAAGTCAGCGGCTTGAATTGGAAAATACCAATCCTACGCTTGTCTCTATTGGCTAAATCCAATAGAAATGCACATGGAATGAATTGGTAATTCATAGCACCAAACCCATTCCAACCAATTTAAACCAATTCATTTTTTAAAATTTGGATTAGAAAATACCTACCAGTTTATTTTTCATTCAAAAATAATTTTAGATCGCAGAAGGATAACCGGGTAAAAACCAGAATTCATTTTTTACAGAAGAGACAAAAAATTTATTGTTACTGAGTAATTTTATTTCTTTATTATTTTTTTTGTGATATATGTAGGTAGGTATGTATTAATACATATAACTTACTATCGCCTAAATCCCTAAATCTTACACATATAAACATTTTTTTTATATAGTACACTACTAACACTAGGCACTTAACACTGAAATCGACTAATAAAATAAACCGCTAATAAATGGCGTCCAAAGACTTGTTGTTTTTTCTTTATGATGGCGTCTCAACCTCGTTGATTTTGCGCAGCTACACGAGAGCCCTCTTGCGATATTTGTATTGTATTGGAAATAACCAATTAGCAGATTTTTCAAATCTTACACTGGCAATGCCCAATTGAATTCAATTGGAAATTACCTATAGGTAGCTTTATCCAATTGAAACCAATAAAAACCATTAGAATCCTAACTGGTATTTTCCATCATGGAAAATACCAGTAAAAACCAATTTCTGTTTTATATCGCGCCCAATTAAAACCAGTAAGTCCAATTCAGACCCATTGATACCAGCCAATACTTCAATTGGTTTCTACAGGAATTAATCGGTCATTTACAACAGGGATATTCTTCACTAAACTAGTGTACATAGAAAAAGGATAAAGTGCAGGGCCGGATTAACCACAGGGCCATTGGGGCCATGGCCCCGGGGCGAAATCCCAAAGGGGGGCGCACGCCACGCCGACCGTTCCCTTTTGGGCGGCGCGCCAACTCTATACGAGTTGGCGCGCCGCCAAAAAAATGACATATTACAAATTGTAATAGTAGAAGAGAAGCAACCAATAATTACTAAAATAGTCATATCAGTAGATCAAATCTACTAGATTGGATTTAAATACACTTTAGTACATTTGTTCTAGACTGGCAACACTGTTTACAGATTTAAACAAAAGTTAATGCACGAAAGTATAACCCCTATATTATAAGTAAATAGATTTTCGTAAGTAATATCATAAGGGCATTTAATTTTTCCGAAAAGAATCGAAAAAACACGTTGCTAAGTAATATTTTAACAAAAAGCATGAGTGCTGGTGGCAACAAAAATCCGAGTCGAAGAGGAGGATTTTTGCACCTGCACGAATGCATTTTGTTCAAAAATATTACTTAGCATTGTGTTTTTTCGATTTTTTTCACAGGAAAAATTAGATGCCCGAATGGTATTTGACAAGACTATTTCATGAGTAACAGTTAACAATTAAAATATAAATTTCAATTTTTGGTGACAACAGCTGTCAAGTTTTGCCGCGGGGTAAACTCGAAAAAACTGCTGACAGGTGCTGTCACACAGTTTTTTCACCTAGAAACCATTTGTAATTCAAAATTGCGCGTTTGTGATTGGTGTAAATTAATACGAGGGAAATAGTCGTAAGTAATATCATAAGGGCATCTAATTTTTCCGAAATAAATCGAAAAAACACGTTGCTAAGTAATATTTTAACAAGAAGCATGAGTGCTGGTGGCAACAAAAATCCGAGTCGAAGAGGAGGATTTTTGCACCTGCACGAATGCATTTTGTTAAAAAATATTACTTAGCATTGTGTTTTTTCGATTTTTTTCACAGGAAAAATTAGATGCCCGAATGGTATTTGACAAGACTATTTCGTGAGTAACAGTTAACAATTAAAATATAAATTCCAATTTTTGGTGACAACAGCTGTCAAGTTTTGCCGCGGGTAAACTCGAAAAAACTGTTGACAGGTGTTGTCACACAGTTTTTTCACCTAGAAACCATTTGTAATTCAAAATTGCGCGTTTGTGATTGGTGGAAATTAAGACGAGGGAAATAGTCGTAAGTAATATCATAAGGGCATTTAATTTTTCCGAAAAGAATCGAAAAAACACGTTGCTAAGTGATATTTTAACAAAAAGCATGAGTGCTGGTGGCAACAAAAATCCGAGTCGAAGAGGAGGATTTTTGCACCTGCACGAATGCTTTTTGTTAAAAAATATTACTTAGCATTGTGTTTTTTCGATTTTTTTCACAGGAAAAATTAGATGCCCGAATGATATTTGACAAGACTATTTCATGAGTAACAGTTAACAATTAAAATATAAATTGCAATTTTTGGTGACAACAGCTGCTGTCAAGTTTTGCCGCGGGTAAACTCGAATAAACTGCTGACAGGTGCTGTCACACAGTTTTTTCACCTAGAAACCATTTGTAATTCAAAATTGCGTGTTTGTGATTGGAAATAGGGAAATAGTCATAGAAATCACAATATTTATAAACATTGCCAGTTTTTGCAGTTCTTTATAAACTTGTGAGTTGAAAACGTATACATTGGCGATTTGTGTGTTTCAAAAACATTTGGAAATTGTTGTTAAATTAGTTTACTTATAAGTGGCGGTTTGTGTTTTTAAAACTTTTAGACAAATAGTGTATCTAACTGTTGATGCTGTTTCTGGTGTTAGATTAAAATTTAGTATTTAGTTTGGTGTTTATTAAAAAGTTATATTTATTTATCCTTTCAACACAGAGGATTCTGTGCCTTTTAATAAAGGCTTTAAGACAAATAAAAGTGGCGCAACCCGTAGAAAAAATCTACAAATTGAAGAAGAGAAGACAGAAGAACTTTTGAAAAAAGTTCCAAAATTGGATCAATTTTTCAAAAAAAATAAATAAACCCATCTCTTGACCCTGCTACATGGCATGTTAATAAGGAATTTATTGAATATTTAATAAAAATTCCTTTTACACATATTTTATACTAAATTTATAAATTTATAAACGGTGAAATTGTTCGCAGAGAGTGGTTATTGTATTCTAACTTAACTAATATGGTTTATTGTTTACAATGTAAATTATTCGGATCTACTAAGCAGACATTATTTGTCGATGGGTTTAATAATTGGAAACATTTGGAAAGACTTGGTGAACATGAAAAGTCAGCAGGGCATAGAGAAAATACAAAAACTTATATATTAGGATCAAAAACTCTTGCCAAAATAGACATTGTTATAGAAAAA